CATGTTAATTTTGAGTCAGAATTATGTGAGCTAAACCAGTTGAGATGCCTGTGGTGTTGCTGTCGTTCCTGCTGTTGAACACTGGCCCTCTTCAGCGAGGGCGCAGACAGGACCAGTTCTTTGCCCTCTGGTTGATGTGGCTGCTGTGCCACTGTCGGCTTCATCTTCAAGATCATGTTGGCCCTTCGTGAAGTGTGGTAAACATTTGTAAACCAATGATTTCCCTGGGACATTGTCCCTATAAGTCAGTCAGTCAGTCTGTCTGTCTTCCTTCTTTCATTTCTTTCTTTATTTGAAAGGTAGAGTTACAGAGAGAGAGAGGAAGAGAGAGAGATCTTTTGTCCACTGGTTTACTTCCCGGATGGCTGCAAAGGCCAGGGCTGGGCCAGGCTGAAGCCAGGAACCTGGAACTCCATCCAGGTCTCCCGCATGAGGGCAGGGGCCCATGCACTTGGGCCATCTGCTGCTGCTTGCTCAGATGCATTAGCAGGGAACTAGATCAGAAGTGGAGCAGCTGGGACTCAAACTGGCACCCGTATGGGATGTTGGCATTGCAGGTGGTGACTAACTGCTGTGCCACAATGCTGGCTCCTGGATTTTCCATAAAGCATCCGTGATTTCACTGTTCTTCCACCCAAGCTTCACCATCAATTTGATGTTTGTTCTTGCTTCAATTTTGGCAGGATTCATGTTGCTCTGATAGGGGCTTTCTGTCCAAAGTGATGTCTTACCCTTGCTAGTGCCTCAAACTAGGTCCTGTTCAGATACATTATAAAAAGTTAATGTGGGGGCGGCACTGTGGCCTAGCAGGTAAAGCTGCTGCCTGCAGTACCGGCATCCCATGTGAGTGCCATTTTGAGTCCTGGCTGTTCTACTTCTGATCCAGCTCTCTCCTATGGGCTGGGAAAGCACTAGAAGATGGCCCAAGTCTTTGGGCCCCTGCACCCACGTGGGAGACCAGGAAGAAGCTCCTGGCTTCTTGCTTTGGATCAGTGCAGCTCTGGCCATTGCAGCTTCTGGAGAGTTAACCAGCTGATGGAAGACTCCCTCTCTCCCTCTTTCCCTCTTTCCCTCTCTCCCTCTCTCCCTCTCTCCCTCTCTCCCTCTCTCTCTCTCTCTCTCTCTCTCTCCGCTTCTGTCTCTCTGTAACACTGCCTTTCAAATAAATAAATCTTTAAAAAAAGGTTAATCTGAGTATATTTTGATGCCCCTCCAAAAAAAGGAAATCCATGAGTCTGTGCATGGTTTTTCATAATATACATTTTCCACTAACTTTTTTTAAAAATAGATTTATTTATTTGAAAGGCAGAGTTATAGAGAGGCAAAAGCAGAGAGAAAAGTCTTCCATTTGCTGGTTCACTCCTCAAATGGCTGCCTGAAGCCAGGAGCCAGAAGCTCCTTCGGGGTCTCCCAGGCAGGTGCAGGGGCCAAGCATTTGGGCCATCTTCTACTGCTTTCCCAGGCCATAGCAGCTGGATCGGAAGTGGGGCAGCCGAGACGCTAACTGACGCCCAAGTGGGATGCTGGCTCTGCGGGTGGTGGCTTTACCTGCTATGCCACAGCGCCAGCTCCTTTCCATGAACATTTTGAAGACTCCTTAAAATTGGTTATCCTGCTCAGGCTGGAACAAAACTCAGACTTACCCTGCTGTCCCTTGGCCGACTTAGGATGTCTGGGGTGAGCCCTCTTTCTGGAGTGTGACCTTTGCTGCTGGGGTTTGAGTCTCCAGGCAGGTCTGGCCCGTTTTTCTGCGCCTGCCTTTGCTGGACAATGTGCTACGTGAGGGGGAGGAGTAGGCAGATGCATTCAGTTTGAAACTTCTGCTTTACCACTTATTTTTGCACATGGGAAAATTACAGTACCCAGGTTGTGGGGTTATTTTGAGTATTAAATGAGGTAGTATGTGTAAAGCTCATACAAAATGTTGGCTGTGGGGCCAATGCTGTGGTATAGTGGGTAAAGCCACCAGCTGCAGTGCTGGCATCCCATATAGGCACCAGTTCGAGTCCCCCTGCTCCACTTCTGATCCAGCTCTCTGCTATGGCCTGGGAAGGCAGTAGAAGATGGCTCAAGTGTTTGGGCCCCTGTACCCACGTGGGAGACCCTCCTGGCTCCTGGCTTCAGATAGGCCCAGCCCTGGTCATTTTGGCCATTTGGGGAGTGAACCAGTGGATGGAGGACTTCTTTCTCTCTCTCTTTGCCTCTGCCTCTCTGTAACTCTGTCTTTCAAAAATATAAATAAATCTTTAAAAAAAAATGTTGCTATTACCGCCATTACTGTTGTAGAACCTCAGACCTGGTTCTGCTCACCTGAGTACACTGACACTGGGGTAACAGAAAGTAGTTTTGTTTGTTTATTTTGTTTTGTTTTTGAAGATTTTAAAGGCAGAGTTAGAGATAAGGAGAGACTGAGAGATCTTCCATCTACTGGTTCACTCCCTAAATGGCCAAAATGGATGACTGTAATGGGCGGGGCTGGGCCATGAGCCAGGAACGCCATCTGGGTCTCCCACGTGGATGCAGGGTCCCAAGTGCTTGGGCCATTTTCCACTGCTTTCCCAGGCGCATTAGCAGGGAGCTGGATCCAAAATGGAGCCGCTGGCACTTGAACTAGCGCCCATATGGGATGCTGGCATTTCTAGCAGTGCTATGCCACAATACTGCCCCAGAAAGTAGATTACTTATCGTTGTGAAGTGCAGAGCAAGGTGTAGGGGGTAGCCAGTGCTTAGTGTCCAGGCTCTGTAAGGGATTAGGGTAGGGAATCTTAGAGAATGAGGTTGGGGTGGAGAGGTGTGTGTTTGGTTCATGTGCAGGTCTCTGGTTGGTCTGAGGTGCTCGTGGTCCTCCTCTGATAGATCAGTGATAGGATGGCCATTGGTTGCATTCTTTTGGGATTTGATGTTGACAAAAAAGGCTTCTGACATTAGTTTTTGCTCCAGGCCTTGGGTTTCTGTAAAAACAGAAACCTTAAGGCAAGGCGTAAACTCAACATGTATCTGTAGAGGAGACAGATGACCTCCCGAGTCCTGGGATCTGTGGCCCTGTGGGGCTGGCTGCCCTGGTGCTCCACTCTCGGTTAGTGAGTTAGTCTTCAGTAAGAGGTTGATTTGCAATCATCAAAGCAGGGCCAAGGACTTCGGGCTAGGAGAGGGATCCTGGGCCTGAGTTTACCCACGACGGAAGCGGTGTACCGGGCTCAGCTTCACCATTGCTGTTGGTCGGGGCAGGCATTGGTTTGCCTGTAGGGACACTCTGCTAGGGGGCCTACAGGAAGCTTTTTCTAAGCAGAGGCCACCTTTGCTTTATCTCCTTTCCTTCAGTGAAAGGAAAGAAATGGGATAAGAGGCACATTTGGCAGCTTTGAAAACTTGTGATACGATTTTTTTTTTTGTAAGAGTTCATTCCTGATTTACATAATGGCCACTTTTCCTCCGTGACCTTCACTGAATTAGGTTTAGTACCGTGTCCCCAGATCTTAGCCGTGAGTGCTGTTGAGCTTGTGTTTCCTTATCCATGAAAGGGGGATTGAGTGAGTTGCAGTGAGGTGCGCTGCCTTGGTGCGCAATGAGGGGTGAACGTCTGCACAGCATACACTCGCAAAGGCCAAGGCCGTGCCCTTCAGAAGCCCCTGCGGCTCTGAGGCTGTGCCATTGCAGGGCAGGTTCTGCCTTTGCTTCCCCCGGTTCATCATCTCCGCTTGTCTTTTCTACTAAAAACGTATTTTCTACCGAAGTTTACCTGTGGATTGCTTGCTTTTACTTTTTTTAAAAAAATGTTTTAAAAGATTTATTTATTTATTTGAAAGGCAGAGTTACAGAGCGGCAGAGAGAGAGAGAGAGAGAGAGGTCTTCCGTCTGCTGCTTCACTCCCCAGATGGCCATAACGGCCAGAGCTGGGCTGATCTGAAGCCGGAAGCCTGGAACTTCTGACTGCATGTGGGTGCAGGGGCCCAAGGACTTGGACCATCTGCTGCTGCTTTCCCAGGCACATTAGCAGAGAGCTGGGTCAGAAGTGGAGCAACCAAGACTCGAACTGGCACCCGTATGGGATGCTGGCACTGTAGGCAGCGGCTTTACCTGCTACGCCACAATGCCAGCCCCTGGTTTTACTTTCTAATAATACTTTACAGATCACTTAATTGGCATATTACTTTTCTTATCTCGTCTTGACAGTAATCTTGGAAGTTTTGGTTACTGACGATCCCTGATTTATATTTGTGGAAACTGAAGCATGGTGTCCTTGTTAAGGACACAACGTAGGTTCAAACCACATCTTGTGACTGAAATCTAAGCTTCTGTTCTCCACGTTGTTGCTATGGGATGTCTTGGTGATTCTTTGCCTTTGAGACAGGTTGGCGTTTGGATTAGGGGTCAGGACGCTTCCTGCGCAGGGCCAGGAAGTTAATACTTGAAGCGCCCTGCAAGGGGTGTTTGGATTACTCAGCTGTGCTGCTGTGGTGCCAGAGCAGCCTAGACAACCTGTGAATGGATGGGGGTTCTGACGCGTTTGAGCTCTTGCTCTTCATTTGATCCCCTGCCCCTCAAAGAAAAAACTATTAAAAGAGGTAAAAAGTATCCTTAGCTTGTTGGTTACGCAAAAATAAGAGGCAAACTAGATTGGGTGGGAATACCAGTTTGCCACACCCAGGCAAGGTGCACTTTCTCATTTTAGGTTCCATCCAGATCTTGCATCCTGCACCCAATGAGGTGTCTCTGTTTTTGCCACCTTGTATTTTCCAATCTCATGTCACCCAGCTAGCGTGTTACCGGCAGGCCCTGTTGGATGCAGTCTGGGGCCCAGAGGCAGGAAGTGTATTACACAGGAACTGCTGTCCTAATAGGTCATAAGCAGGAGGCTCGCGTATCTCAAACCAGGCTTCTTGATTCTCCATGCAGTCGTTGTGTTTTGCCATATTTTTACCGCCTAATTTTTACTTGAGATTCTTATGCTAGGTACGCCCCTTCTTCAAATTTAGAGGCTTTTTTTTTTTTTTCCCTGAAGATTTGGTTACTTTTTTGAAAGGCAGAGTGACAGAGTGGGGGAGAGAGGTCTCCAACTGCTGGTTCACTCTCCAAATGCTGGTAACAGCCTGGACTGGGCAGGCTGTAAAGCCAGGAGTCAGGAACTCCGTCTGGTTTTCCAACATGTGTGGCAGGAACGCTTGTACTTGGGCCATCATTTGCTATGTCCAGGTGCATTAGCAGGAAGCTGAATTGGAAGAGCACGAGTAGCCAGAACTCCCATATTGGATCCAGGCATCCCAAGTGTCCCAACAGTTGCCCCTAAATTTTGATTTATTCTTGAGATTTTCTCTTTCTGCCTGCCTTCCTTCCTTCCTTCCTTCCTTCCTTCCTTCCTTCCTTCCTTTTTAATGACAGAAGTGCAGTACATGAATACATTCTCTTTTTACAAATTTTATTTATTTGAGAGGTGGAAAGAGAGAGAGAGGCAGAGGGAGTGTTCTTCTCTGTTCTCATTCACTCCCTGCTACAACGTGGACAGGACTGGGGTGGAAGCCGAAGTCAGGAGCTGAAAATGTAATTCGGGTCTCCCACATAGGAGGCAGGCACCCAGTTACTTGAGCTGTCACCACAGCCTCCCAGGGCCTGCACTGGCAGGAAGTTGGAGTTAAGAGCCGAAGCTGGGAATGGAACCCAAGTTACCTGACAAGGCATGCAGACAGTATCTTAATCACTACGCTAAACATCTGCTCCCTGTTTTTGTTTCTTTATTTTGTTAATGTTCTTTGGCTCAAAAACATTATTTTATTAGGGACTGAGGAAGGGGGGAAAAGAGAACATGATGCCATTTGCTGGTTCATTCCCCAAATGCCTGCCTATAGCTGGGACTGGTTGAAATTATGAGTCAAGAACTTAATCTGAGTCTCCCTTGTGGGTAGCAGGGGCTCAGCTACTTGAGCCATCACCCACTTCTCTCCCAGGGTCTGCATTAGCAGGAAACTGGAGCTATTCTATCTATTCCTGACATTCTAATATGGAAAGCTGACATCCAACTTGCGTCATGACTGCTAGACCAAATGCTTGCCTATTTTCTTTATAAAAGATTCAAACACTGACAAAAACATACCTGGAGTATTTAAAATTCCTTTGTCCTTCGGCTGTCTGATACCATGGCTAAGATGCTGCGTGGGGTGCCCACATCCTGTGTTGAGGTGCCTAGATTTGAGTCCGTAGCTTCACCCCCAGTTCCAGCCTCCTGCTAATGCGCATGCTGGGAGGCACAGGGGGTGACCCAAGTACCAGGGTTCCTGCCAAACACATGGGGGGCCTAGATTTGAGTGACAGGCTCCTAGTTTTGTCCTGGCCCAGCCCTGGCTGTTACAGACATTTGGGGAGTAAACTAGTAGATGAAAGGTCTTTCTCTATCTGTGTGTCTCTGCCTTTCAAATAAATAAAACTGAGTAGAAATTAAAAAAAAAATCCCTTCTGCTGTTTCCACTTCCCAGAGGTTTCCACTGTTGAATCAGGCTTGTTTTCTGTTTTGAAATCCTGCGAGCATAGGCAGCCACGTAGAAGCTCCTAACTAAACTCATATAGTGTGTATGCTCCTTGTCCTTTTTCTGCACTGGAGCCTTTTTATTTTAGATTTATCTCAGCAGTTCTGCTTTTTTCGTGGGGTAATTTTGTGGGTATGGGGAAGACGGTTGTCTAAGCAGAAACTGAACAATGAAAGAAACACCCCACCATGTGGTTTCTGCTGTGGGCCACCGAGTCACTTTGGAATGGCGCCCTCTTCTGCAGGCGGTTGGCTAGACGATTTTCCTGGAAATTGGGACTGGGTCTCACGGTCTGAACCCTCTGACAGTCTAGGCCTCCTGTGTCCCCGCTGCTGAGCGTAACTGAGTTTCTTACCTGGAGCGTGCTATTAGGACACAGCCTCTTCACAGTTATGCTGTGTAACTGTAGATACTCTAGTCCTGTTCTGTCCCAAAGCAGAGGTCGAGGTAGGCATTTCAAAGTAATTGAATTCAGTAATTGAAATTTCTAAAGTAATTGAGAGAAGATGAGAGCATTTCCTATTTAGAAGGCAGCAGCTAGATTTTTTTTTCCTTGAAATTATTTTCCTAGTATCTAGTTAGCTTAAAAAAAAAAAAAAGGAAAGGAAACAGAAACGGGACTGTGGAGTGGTGAACGTAGGTCTTGAAATATTTCAGTTCTCATGCTTTGTAGGGGCGGCACTGGTGGATGTCCCCATCGGATGTGGATGTGATTCAGTGACACCTGCGGAGGACGGGGCACCTGCCCTCTGCTCTTGGGGGTCCCTCCTGTGCTGGTGCTGCCGGCGTGGGCCGCAGCCTAAATCCACCGAAGCAGGACTGCCCGTTGCTGAAGTCACCACTGCTGCGGTCCTCGTACCACAGAGTCCCGTGGAATCAGACCTGTTTCCTCTCATTGCTTTTTTATAAATGACTATTTTTTATTACTTCTATACCTGCATGTTTCAGTTTTAGAAAAAAAATTGTCGATATTCTAACTCTTCATCATTAAAGAATTCTAGCCTGTATTCCACATGAAAATTGAAAATAAAAGCAGCCGTGTTATTGTTAATAAGGGCTTACTCATTAGCTGTGCGAATTCTTTGTGTGGTTTAAAATATAATGAATATCCTGCTCTTGTTTTCACTTGAAGAGAGGAAAGCCCTTTAAAAAAGTTTTTTAATGGCACTAAAGTCCATGTTTAAAAACAGTGTTAAGGATTTTTATTTCTTTGGGTTTTGAGGAGAAATATTTTAAAGTTGCACATATGAGTTTGTTTTATCTGCATGATTCTAATTAAAGTTAATTAAAGTCACATGGTTGAACAAATCTCTGAAATTGCACATTTTGGAGACTTATTTATTGCATCTGTTTTACTCTGTTTATTTGCTGTTACTCTTTTAAAAGTAAATCACCAATAACTTAATTTAATGAATTATTGCTCATCTTATTTTTGGCTTCCTTTCTCTTGCTCTTTCCGTGCTTTCCAGCTGGCACATGAAGGCCCCGTCTGTTTGAGCTCTGGGACTGTTGAACCACATCACACCATGACCGACCTCCTGATTATAAAGGAAGCAGCACATGATGGCCACGTTGAGTCCTGGCCTTTGCCTCACATGCTTTATGAAAAATGTGGCCACTTTGTGCACAGGATCTCCTGGTGGGATATTGACATTTTACCCACCCAGAAACCTGTGTATAAAGTAAGCAGCTTTTCTTTTTAAAGGGAAATTCTACAGTTGTAAAATTTAGGCCTATTTTAATTTTGAGATCTAGATGAAATGTAATCCCCGGAGTACTCTTTCCATTGTTGCAGTCTCATCTTCTTTTCATATGGTGCCTGATTTAGTTGGAAACAGGTTAGTAACTATGCATACTTAAAGGAGGCAATTTAATAAACAGGATTTTAGAGAAACCTAATAAGGGCTGTAAAATGATACTAGTGAATCAATTGCATTATATAGGAGGCCTAGGTTAGAGGTAGCGTTTAGATAAGTGTGGCACATCTGGGGCTTCTGTTGCACTGTTGCAAAGACATCTAAAGGTTTGCGTCTCAGGGGAAGGAGTTCAGCCTGCTGGTTAAGACGCTCATCCCACATCCGAGTGCCTGGGTGTGAGCCCTGGCTCAGCTCTGAATGCCAGCTTCCTGCTACCGCAAGCCCTGGGAGGCTGTGGTGATGGCTCAAGTAATTGGGACCCTGTCCCTTACCTTAGAGACCTGGATTGAGTTCCCAGGGCTCAGTCTTCCACCCTGTGAGGGCTGTTGTGGACATCTGGGGAGTGAACCAGCAGATGGGGGGGAGGCTTAGTGGCAGGGATCTCTCTCTCATATAAATACATAAGTTATATTCATAAAAAGAGATTTGCATTTCTCAAACAAAAAGTTGGTCAGTGTGGGTGACAGTTTGCTTTTGGGTTTCCTGGTTCATTTAAAGATGAATCAGAAATAGCATTCTCCTATCATGTAGGCTGAAGCCAACTAGACAGTGATGCTGGCTGTAGCTGCAACACGGTCTCACAGATTAAGATCAGGCTGAGCAAGGTCAGCTGTGTGGAGGAGGGCGGTTTGTGGCCACGTAGCTGGACAGGGGTAGAGACATGCAGTCCTCAGCTTGGGGGCTGTCCGCCATCATCTGTGGTCCTGGGTGGCAGGCAGGTAGCTGAGCTGTAGGTCTGAGTGAGGTAAAGAGTGGCAGGTGGCTGCCTTTCATTGTACCTTGTCATTCGACAATAAAATGCCACAGACTGGGTGGCTTCAAGGGCAGTTAATTCCCACAGTTCTGGAGTCTGAGGTCCAAGATCAGGGTGCTGGCAAAACCTTTTTCCATTTGAGGCTTCCTCTCTGGGCTCCTAGGTACCCACTGTTCCTGTTTTCTCTCTGTGCACCTGCAGGGGACGGGGAGCAGGAGAGTGCTGTGTACCAGCACCCACACCCTGACCTCTCTTTGGGGCATCAGTTGTGTCGGGAAGGCCCACCACTACGATCTCATTTACCTGTTCCTACCTTTTCATAGGCCGCTGCTCCAGATAGTCCTGTTGGGGGTTAGGGCTTCGACAAAACAATTTGCCCTGGAGGTGGGACACAATTCAGACTATAGCAACTTGAAAGAAGGGACTTGTGGGTACGTGCTGCTCATAGCAAGGGATACTAACTGGCATGGCCCAGAGTGGGGCTGAGTGGCAGTTGTGGATGCCTCCCTCAGAGAGCATCGGCTGGACGGCCCTGGCTTTATCCTTATTCCATCCAGTCCTCGTGCAGCCTTGCGCAAGTTACCAGCTCTCAGAGATGTTTCCTTCAAGTCCGATGGTGCTTGACACCAGTGAGGACTTTGTTCATCGTATCCCGCCAAGTGCACAGTAGGTGCTCAGGGAATGGTGGTGGCTATGGCGTTTGTGCATTTGATATGTATGTACATAGTTTTCATTTTTTATTATCCACCGAAATGGTAAACTCCCCTTGAATCCTTCTCTTTCTTTGGATACGAACACTTTGCCCACAGCTGGACTCATGGGTTGGTGGGTTTTCCTCTGTCCCTTGGCATTTGTGAGCCCACCAAGACCACGACTTAATTCCTCTGTTAGAGTGGCTGTCTCCTAGACTTGAGGGGCATCTCGCACCTTCATTTAGGTTTCATGGTGCCTTGCACATTAGTATTTGTTTGGTTTAAACAGTGTTGAATGCATGAATAAGTGAACAGATATGGCCTCCGAGGTAATGTGATTCCGCCTTCATCTAAATCTGTGTTTCTCACATGTTTCTATGTAATGGCTTCGTTTGATGAGTGTGAATTTCCTCAGTCCCCTTCCAGCATGCAGATAGAAGATCCCCCAAGGGACCAGGGCCCCTAGCTCCCACCTCCCTTGGAAAGACAGAAGCTACATTTTTCCTGTACATCCTCAACAACTGAGATTATTTTTATCAAGCTGTACTCTCACAGGTTATGTTAGGAAAAAAAAATAGCTTCTCTCCTTTTTCAGGTAGAAAATTAGGGTCCTGAATGTGGGTGTTGGCTGTGCCCTCGTGCCAGCCACCATCACAACTTTGCAGCATCTGTCCATTCACCTCCAAGACTCACTGCCCTAATGCCTTTCTGACCCACTGGGCTGCTGTCACAGGTGGGAGTGGAGCTGCCGTTAAATGTTTGGGTGCAGTACTGTGTCCCCACCTCCTTGCACATGTGCAAGAGAATTCTTTGTCTTCCCTGTGTAGAGTCCTTTTGGTGCAGTTACATTGGCAGGCATTTGGTTTTGTACAGCCTATTCTCTGATTACAGCGTGTGGCTCACAAAGTGACCCTAGACATGTGCTGTGCTTTCATAATGCCCCTCGCTCCAGAACAGAACGCACTTTGTAGAAATTACCTTGTCAGTTCCTGGGGCATCCCTGTGAGTACGCTGCTCTGTAAGGGAGTGACGTGAGACAGAGAGGTTAAGGGGCTGCCCTGCACCCTGAACCACTCCCAAAGGCAGTCTAGATCTGGCATCCAGTAGCCATGGATTGGCCATATTGGCTTGCCGTAGCAGAGTGGGTGCCGATCAGTTCTCTTTTCCAAGCCAGCAAACAGAACACCTTTGGTCACAAGATTTAGAGTAAATTTATAAGGTGAGCCTTCTTTGTAAGGATTCTGTGGGTGTTCCAGGGAGTCACAGTTCAGAGCACTGACAGGAAGGAAGCTGAAGTGCACCTGGTCTCCAGAGGAGGCCTCTCGTGAGTTCAGAGTGACCCATTTACAAGGGGCCTGATTCAGAAGTGGATCGCACTGAACGGAACTGTTTGAAATCGGCCCCTGCCCTTATGCCCGGGGAGGTCTTTTATGCCTAGTTGGCTTGGCAGGTGAGCTCTGAGAAGGTGAGGAGCACACCTGGGGCCTGGCAGGGGTCCTGAGAACCAGGGACTTGCGCAGAACTGGGCATTCTCTCTGAAAAGAATCCTGGTAAAGCAGCAGTCTGCCGGGCTTCATGCTTGTGTGGGTGCGTTTGGAATATGGTGAGACAGGTGAAGGGTCTCAGCTTTTGAGAGAATTATACTTGGTGACTTAAAATTCCCCTCTCTTCTCTTCGGCCCCAGTCTTAATATTTTCTTTCATATGAAAAATGCTTTCTAGACTTAGGTCTGTTGATGGATTGTGATGATATATTTAGATGAAGACCCATCAGTTACCAATAGACTAGTAAATGGTGAGCAAGAAATTGAATATAAGAGCATGTAAACTAACAATCCGTACACACATACTTTTGAAAGACTGAATGCATGCTGATATTTTTGAGTCTTTTAAAATGGATATATTTTGGTATCTTGGTCATACATTCCTAAAATTTCTGGTCATGCCTTTCTTACTAGAAAGTGCAAGAAAGGAAGAGGATGGGACATTGGCGGTAGTCAGATCAGTGTGCCAGTCTTCGGTGGTGCTGCTCTTGGTCCTGACAGGGGTACAGCGTGATGGAGATGCCGCAGCGAAGGTTCAAGCTTGACTCGTTTAGTTGTTACAGGAAGATGGTAGAGCCCTCATGCCCGAGCCTCTCGGATGTGTGTATTGATTGCTTGAGCAGAAGCATATTGATACCCAGTGTAATTCACATGAAACTTTCAGCTTTCCTGCAGGCTGATGGAGGTAATGTGACATCTTTGGTTTTTCCCCTTTATCCCTTTCCCCCCTCACCCATTTTTTAAAATAGCAGTGCTTCTCATACTGTCAGAATTCTGTGTTGTGACACCCTCCTCAGGAGTTATGACAGCAGGGTAATGACAGCAACTGCCTCCTGAGATTCAATCAGGCAATTAATTTTGTAAATGAAATGCTGATTATACAAAGCTTCACAAGAGAGGCCCAGTGATTAAAATCAATTTAACAAATTGTTTCAGGTGGGACTTGATTAATAATTTGCCATAAATGCTCAGGATATATGACCAGCATACCTTGTAGTTGCTGCTGCTATCCAGAGTACGTGAAGGTGTACAGGGAAGCTATGTAACTGTCTAGGTGGAAGATGCGCAGATACTCACACTTGTTTATCCAGGCCTCGCCAACAGGGGAAATGGAAAATCATCCTTGTTCATGTTTCCTGGGTGCTGCATAAAATAGCGTTGTCCAGACGGGGTTGAGTGCGACCAAGTTGAACAGCTCTTTTTTCTGCAAAGGACACTTCACGATTTTTCTGGGGAGCATACGTTATTAATCTTACAGAGTGGCCTGTGCTTTATGGACGTACTTTGTTTTGAATTACGGTAGCAACTATAAGCAGTTTGAGGAGTGTTCTAAGAATACTAGCCATAGTGACATTCTACCCTGGAAATCAGGTGTGCCCGTGTGAGCATTACAGTTTGAATCTGAGAGAAGTCCCACTTGCAACACGAGACACAGCCGAATGTCTTTGTGACATTGATACATGGAGCATTTATTCAGTGTCTCTTACAAGCCAGGTTGCATAATTTTTATTACTTAGAATGGACACATCTAGGAAGGCTTGTATTATTTAGAAGAAGATGGCTTGGAGAGAGGTAATGGTTTACACATGGGTTTCTTTTGTTTATTGATTTATTTATTGTTAAGGAAATCATCACAGTGATTGTGCACCGCGTGCCAGAAGTCGAGACTCCAAGGAGAATTCGGGTGAGGAGCACAGCATTTTTGGCCTTGCGTTGCAGTTGGTTGTGGACATACTTGGTGTGTATGAGACGAGAGCTGTGCTGAGTGGGGGTGCCG